TAATTATAATAGAATAAAATGTATTAATAAAATATGTATATGTACTAAGAGAAAATAAAGTAGAAAGCAGGAAACGGAATGATGAAATATTTCTCTTTTCCCCCTTTACATTTACAAAGCTTAGTTTTATGATAGAAAGCTGATAAATGCTAAAATATCTTTTAAAATATTAGCATGCTATAGTTAGTATATTACCAAACTCATCAAGGATCCTGCTGTTTGAGTTTGTTATGAGAGAGGATTTATTTTGTGGCAGGATGTACAGCCACCTGTACCTAAGTATTTCCCTAGCGCCATCCCAGAGAGAACAAAACAGAGCCCTCATCCACCTCTGCAAATCATTCCCTGAAATGTCTAGGGCAAGGAGAAACTCACAGCAGCCTGAGGCAACTTCCTTCTGGGTCAGCCAGGTAAAAGCTCTTCCCCCACATGATTATCCTACTTCAGCCAGCAGCAACCAGACTTGTAACTGCCCCTCAATAACCCCTCCAGCAGCTAATAAAGCTGCCAGTGCAATGTGCAGTTTGATAACCAGCAGCACAAACACAATTAACCTACTAAGGCAAAGGTCCTCCAATGCTGTCAGGCCTATGAGAAGCCAGCAAGGTTGGCCAGGGACTACAGCAGACAAGACCCAATGTAATTCTTGGGCTTTATCCCAAGAATCCTGCCAAAAAACAGGTCTTCTAGATCTCCCTGTTCTGATCCTTTCCTTTGGCTTGAGGCTTGCAAACAAGCCCTGTCTGCCACAGAAAAGGAGTTTTCCTTCACATGTCGAAGGTCCAAACCTTAAAACCAATTCCGGCCTCTCAATATTTGGTAGTCTTAATTGCATTGGACTAGCAACCTCAGCAGAACCAAATTAGACTGGCCATGACAAGAAGGTTGCCAAGCCAGGGATGGGGATACTGGTGGAGCATACCTTCCAGTACAGCAGATGCTGCTCCTCAGAAAATAGGAGACATCCTCTCCTGTGCACTGTTGCTCTGACGCTTTGGTAAGCCCTCAGAGGAACCATCAGATGAAATCTTAAATAAATACAAATTGAAGGAAACAGTTTCTTTGACACCAGAGTCATTTGGGCTTGAAGGAGAGAAGTCAAGCACATGGATTTACTTCTTAATATCTGCTACACAGTGTTTCCTCTCAGAAGTAAGTATGAAACCAATCTCACCTTAAACTATTTGAAGCTCTGAAGACTCCTCACGTATTGTGTCCTATGGTTTATCTATGTTTAACCTGCATTTTTTACAGTCTCATTTGCAATATGTCACATTTCAGATACTGCCCATCCCATACACCAGGTACCTTACCACATATCTCATGCACCCCCATTCTACTGCCTCTGAGGAGCACCTCTGCTCCACCACAGCAGCTACCCGAGGGAGTGTGTCCGTCCGTCCGTCCTAACTCATGCAAAGGACCTCAGTGGGAATGGGTTTCTGAGCTGCAGGAGATGAATGCCATTTCTGCATTGGAGAAACACAATAAAGCATGGACTACAACAAAGGCCTGAAGTGGATTAGTTGCTCATATTTTAGTTGGTGTGAAATATAGAAACCATCTCCCAAGCTAGTCATCTGTCTACAAAGGCACAGAATCTAGCTAAGAATTATTATTATTTTTCCTTGAAAAACTCAATGATCTGCAGTGGATGTTGTATTTGTAAATGAAATTTTATAATTGTTCTTTTCCCAAACATGCAATAAAAGAGCAAATCATAAAAATATATGAACACTGTTGCTCATTTCCCCTCAGACCCCTAACCAGGTAATGTTGAAAATCAGTTTTGATATTGCTGAGATGTGCTCAGCATACTGGAAATATATGCATGACAAACACATGGGCTATTGAACAAAAATCCGTGAGCCACAGATAGGACTGTATCATCATTGTGGAGATTCACACTCTGCGCTGCTCTGTAATTAGTAACATTTACATGTTGGTTTGACTGAAAGCCTGAAACAATCATACAAATTAACACGGTGCCTTCATGGTCCAATGTATTCTACTGATACTTGAAATTTTATGTTCAAATCAGTTTGATAGTCTTTAAAAACCGTTGCTTTTTTTTTTCCCCTTGCATAGGAAGAAAACATCTTCACGGAATTTTGCTTCTGTGTACTCAGCATGTGTTTAGAAACATGTAAACACTGTTTTTTTAATATAAGCAATAGGATCCTACAAGAGAAAAAACACTTGACAGAGCTACAATGGCTTTAAAAACAGTTCCTCTCATCAGTCTATTTGCTTCTCCCTTTCCTTCTGAGACTTGTACTTAAGAGCTCTCCTGTCATGAACATTAGGACACATTTTCATCACTGTGGCTTCTGTGTACTTTTTTGCCCCTTTCATTTTCTTACAAAATAAGGCCTAAGCTACAGTGACCTCAGCTGTTGATGAAAACTTTGTCTCCTCTATATGCAGTGAGAGTATAAGGCCCAGACAGGAAATCTGTCAACAGGCAAAGTTGAGTCCAACTTGGCACTGGAAGCTAAAACAAAGGCAAGCTACCTGAGGTCATTATAATGAAGGAAAAAAAGAGACATAAACATCACTGCTGGGGCATGCTTACACTGTTTACTGGCAATTTCACCTTACAAATTACAAAGGAGAAATGAGGTCCCAGGTAGGGACTCAGAACTGATACTGGCAGCCGTATGACTTGTGCCTATGGTTGCTATGATGTCAGATGGTGTGCACAGTGAGCCAAGCATATGAAACATATGCATACATTAGCAGTTTATGTTCCTGAAGCCCATAGTTGCCATGACCATTACTTCCCTAGCTGAGATCACTGTTTGGAGTGTGCAAGGCAATGTCATCCAGCACTGTGTTGGGTAGTGCAGATCATGGCTGCTGAGCTAACAGTCATGGTATATAATGGCATTCTTTCTATGGAAATAATTGGATGACCCTGTAAGTACAGCCTGCTGTTATTCTCAAAACAAAATCTTCTCACATATGCCTATACGTTGTTTGCTTTGCCAATGTTGAAGTGTCTTCAAAATAAACCACAGCCTGATCTTCCACCCCAACAAAATGCCAGCCAGCCACCAGCGATGTCTGTACAGATCTGAAAATGAAAAGCCACGAAATGACTCAGTGTATTAGGTCACTGTGACAGCCAGGAGGTAATACCAGAGGATTTACTTTGGCTGGAGCCTGCCTTGGCTCATCTTCACTTGCACTGTCAAAGCCAGGCTCTCATGTCAAAGCCAGGCTCTCATCTCAAGCCAATGAGCTGTAGCTTGCCCACTTCAGCAACAGTTCACCAGGTATCATGTAAATAACAAACTCAAACAGAGTTTTTTGAAATGAAATTATAACTCATGAATAAAAACCAAAATGATTCCTGTCCCTGACTGTAGGGAAGCAGAAAAACAGATTCACTTTACAGTTATTGGAGTGTTTGTCCTCACAGCTGTCCTGTGATGCTGGGATACTTTAGCAGTGCCTAACATCTCTATAGGTTTTGTATTTAGAGGAATATCCCTAAAAATATTGTGCAGGGCAATGGATTTATAAGCTTGCTGAGAAATTTCAGCCCATATTACAGAGTGGATGGCAGCTATCCCCACCTTCCTCATGGGGATAATGAGAAGATGGGCAATCCTTTAAAGGTTGCATAACTTGGCTCCGAAGTGTAAAATGATGGCAAAGATCTAAATTTCCATGTATTGAACAGAAGAGTTACTCAGAGATAAGAATACAGACCATAGTTATTGCAACCCAGGAAACATTAGTGACTTTCCTGGAATTCTCTTCCAAGACTAAAAAGATGGCTTCAGGGTAAATGTTTCTGAACCACACAAACATCATACATTTCTAATCAGGTTTGGCTTTATTCTATCTGAATGATAGCTTCATCTTTTAGGAACTGGCACATATATACTTTTATATAAAGTAAAATTAAACACTGTGAATGTGGGTACTGTTCTGCAGTGATACAAGTTTTTTTTTCCTCCTGAAATTGCATTCCACATATTTTCTTGCTTTTTTCCACTTTTTCACTGTAAAATGACTGTTCTCTGTCTTTGCAACACAATTATTTACTTTGAAAATGTATTTCTTGAAACTCGAAAGTACTTTCTGGTAACCTGAAGTACGATGAAATGGCAGTTGCAGTAACGGTGTAACTAAGGTGACTGACATACCAAAGAAATTAATTGATCACTTCTAAAACATCTGCTTCTCTTAATCAGATAGGATGGTAAGGACTCCAAAATTAAAGTAAAAACATTTTAAATGTGGGTTTCAAGGAAAAGTAAAGTATGAAATACTAAATAATTACGGTTAAATGGAATAAAAGCATTGAGACAGAATGTTTTCAAACACAATGGGCAGTTGTTTTCTGCTTGTCTAAATGCAATAAAAAAACACCATTAAAGTGGAAATAAAAGACGGGATAAATGTGACAAGCAGTCCTATTGCAGAAAGGAATGAATAAGCATGCAAATCAGGACAACTGAAAGCTTTCCAGTGAGCCCTGCTCCAGGAAAGAAAACCAATAGGCAAAGCAGGGGATATACAAAGTCCTGGCAGAGAGAGCTTTGGCTGAGACTTGAGCAACCCCCCTGATATGTGCAGGGTCCTGGACCATCTTGAGTCTTTTTCCAGTATTACTGACCTTACAGATTTCTCCCTTGAATGTTTGTATTAAAGACTGTAATTACACTCACTGTATTTGCTTGCTTTTTTCTGAACTAATTCCCTTGTGATTGCTCTGCACCTCCTTCTGAGATCAGAAGTCCCTTTTATCAGTTCTGACAGGTTTGTAATTTCTCTTGCTTCACTACCTGATATAAAGATGGTAAATAAAGCAGTACTTTAAACTGTGACTATCTTGTTAAACACCAGCTAGCACTGCTCTCTCCTTATAATCCTTTGGCTTATATTTGCATGTCACAGTCTCCTGAGCCCTGTGATGGACAACCTAAAATGTATGGATAAAGAGAAAAATAGATATAGATATAGTAAAAAAAAGATGTTTAATTTACCTGTAGTTCTCCTTCCATTATACTGAGGAGTTTTATCAAGTCCTCTTTAGAAAACTCTATGGACTTCTTGTTCTTTCGCTCACTAGGTCCAGGTGATTTTGAGTGCCGTTTGACAGTTGCTGAAACCATGACCTCATCTTCCTTCCGATGAGGTTTGTTCTTTTTCTTGGCATCATCCTGGAGTTTTTCGTTCTCTGCATGGCTGATGACAGGCCTGGAACTGGACAAGTGCCCTTTAGACGAGCTTTCTCCGCCTTGGTTTCGGGATCTCATCCCTACCTAGAAAGAAATAAGCATTTTATAAACAAAATTACTCACAAAAAAACCGCAGCAGAAATAGTCTCTTGGAAGAACAACAATCTTATAAATACTGAAATACACTGTTATACTCAAGGGAAGGGCACAGAACTCTCAAACATCTCAACGATTTTGTGTGTGGCAAACACTGAATCCAAAGCATTGGTTATAAATTAAGACAGTCCTAAAGTAAGGGTAACCATGTTTGCCAGCATGTCAAGACATTGATGCGAGTTACAATGTATGGAGCATTAAGTGTTGCAGGAAGATGATAAAGAACATTTTCCACAGTCTTTTTCCAAACGTCAACAGTTCGATCATTCACAATCTATCACTATAAAATAAAAGTTTGTTGTAGTAAGTCTTATTTTAACGTGAGGTTTACTTGAGAGACAAGAATGCAATTAAATTGTTTAAAAGCATATTTCTTGAGTATAAATTCTCTATGAGAGAGTGCAGTGACTACCTGATGACAACGGTCACTCTACAGTCTCCTTCTGCAAAGGACTGGTTTTATTGGTTATATTAGAGGTAACTAAGAAAACTTGGGAAGGCAAACTCCATCTTAGGCTAAGTACTGTCTGAGGTTGTTAGGCTACAAATGCCATGAAACAAACCTGTAAAGAAGTCTGGATTGAGAGCACAAGAGGGCATGAAAACATTAAGAGGTAAATGGCAGAATCAGAGCAGTCCTTCCAGAAAATTAGTTTTTCTCCAAAAAGTCAGGTCTTGGTTACTGACCTCTCACAGCTCTGTTCCTTTAAGCATCTACACTACATACTGAGCCTATTTCTATCCTAGGACATCAAACAGTGACAGTAAATGTTCCTGGGCTCTGGTACTGGACCTTCTTTATCACCAAATTGTTGGCAGCTCCTTGGCACACTTTTGGTCCAGAAGAATCACCACTGTTCCAACCAGCACCTGGCCCAAGCCAAGGACTAGTCCCAAAGACCATCCAGCTGCAGCCACTCTGTCCCAATAGAGAAGAGTTTAGTAGTGTGAGCAGAGACAGATTATGCTATTGGACCTCACGGACTGAATGGGAGTTTTGGGATCATTTAGTTTACAAGTAACATAGTGTCACATAAAACACAGCTGCTAAAATCATCCTTTGTATATCTTCACCAAACAACAGTCTTCTTGGATCCCATTAGCAAAATCAAATCAAGCCACTTGCCCTTCAGATCTTTTCATAGTTCTCTTTCTTACCAGTAAGCCCTTTCCAAGTTAACATATATGCAACACATTCAACAGAAACTAGATTAATCTGCCTATTTTCTCCTCCAATGAAAATGTCTTCTTTTTCTTCTCCCTTGACATGAAGACTTGACCAAGAAGGTTGACATTCCTTAAAGGCCCATTTACCCTGTAACTTTTCATCCTTGCCACTGATTAAAAATGGCACAGAAGACAGTAGAGATTCATCAGTGTGTATTTCAATACTTATCAATATTAAAAAGATGTACAAAACATACTCAGACATATTTGTTCATGGATCCATATTTCAATTCTGTCACCTTCCTATCAAATAATAGTTATAATACATCTAGGACTGTAATTATCCTGTCATTATTGTCCGTTAGGCAGTCTTGATCATTGCTTGGGCTCAAGCTATTTCTGCCATACAAAATAAAAGGCAGTAGTGAGTTTAGGCTTGGTTCAGGATCAAAGTCAAAGGTAAAATGTAAGGCAGTGCAAATTTAAATTAAGCTGGTTTCCTAAAAAGTCTTATTTGAAATGGCTTATATAACAGTCAAGGGAGACTATCAGAAGTTCACATTGCCTTACTCCAATCTACTTCTGTATATGGTCACATCTTCTGCAACCTTAAGGGTTTTGTGTTTTTTTTTTTTAAAGCCGGTTGACCTAAGATAATCAAGAACACTAAGAAGGCAAGATTTGTGCAGAAAAGTATCCTGTTTTGGATCAACTACAGTCTGAGTTGCTGGAGCAAAACAAAGAAAAGAAAGCTGAGGAAGGGCCTGTATGCCTGAAACTTGCCTAGTTTTCATATCAGTAGATCAAATGAATAATATTCCTTTGCTTCCAAATCTTTCCTTTCACTTAAATTCACCTCTGGATTTAGTTTGCAGCTTGTATGTTAGTCAAACAGATGCTTCTCAACATTGTTAACGTCACACACTTCGCTGATAAGGATCTCAGAGCAGCAGATCGGAGCAAATGGAGCAAACCCTAAAATAAATTGACTAATCAGCTTGGCTAATGTTATGCTGGGCTTGTTGCAGCTTGCTACTTATTTGACTCAGGCCAGTGTTATAAATCTCTTGCTCAGATTAGCTTTGTATTTTGGTAGTTTCACACTCAGCAGGAAGATAGGATTTTTATTATCATTGGTTACTCATGCCTTTACTTCATTAACTTAATGGAACTCAGCCAACAGCCTAAGCAAGGAGCGAATTTGACCCAAAGTTTTAGAGTGCAAGAGTTTCATGATGAGATTCCTTGCATTGTAGGTCTGCTCCTATCCAAACAGTGGGGGATACAGGTACACAATGGCCTTTCACTTCCCGAATGCTTGTGTAGTGTGTTTTTCATCAAATAGCTTGGATTAAACACATAAATTACACTTTCTAAAAACAGTTCTCCATTATAGCCACAAACAATACCTGAGAACCACAGGAAATCTTTTAGGTCTCAGGTTTGTAATGGAAAAATAAACATTGTACTATGTTTCCTCTCAGATAGGGACTTTCAATTTGTTTAACTTTAATGGGTTTTTAACTTTCCAGCCATACTTCCTCTCAGGAGAGAGCACTTGGGATTCAATCTGTCTGTATTTTCTGAGTATTTCCTTTTGAGTCCCTGTGGGCCACAGCCTCCAGCTACTTTCATCTCTTAACCATGGCTTATTTTTCATGGATTACAGTGAATGGCCTTGTGGCTCTAGAACATCTTACACGTTTTAAGAATGAATACTGCAAGTCTCTCTTACACATGTTTTCCACTGGAAAACAGATTATTTCATTACACTGCTTGGTAACACGTTGCGTTAACGATCCCTCTGTAGAAAGATGACTCAGCCTGAAGGTGCACAAGAGAATTTAAATTTAACTCATTACTAGTTGAGATACAGCATAATCAACTATCTGCGCTGAGCTGCCTATGCCAAACTTAATGTAAACCAGTGTGTCACCCTGTCACACTGTAACTCGGAACAGCCACTTTAATCCACCTGTCCCCATGGGAGCAGAGACAGCAATTCATGAAGCTTTGTAAAGACTGAATAGTAGACTACAGCTTTGTAAGCACGCTAATGAAGAAACGGCAAATATATATTGAAAGTGTGCTTTAACTCAGTGCAAATCACGAGAAGTCCACGAGGACAAATGACAATTTGTGTTTTTTTCAAAAGTCATGAATGCAGAGGCACAGTAGCTTAACCAACTGTATGGAGTTTTGCATCAACTAGCTCGTTAGATTATGATTGTCACTAAAGAAATCAAACCTTTGTAATTCATAAAATTTATTTGAAATTTGTAGATTTATTTTGCAGCAAGTCTTACATCACACTAAGTGTGTCAGTGTGCTACTCGGGGACACTGCCCTTAATAGCATTACTTTGTATAAAAGCTTGTCAAAATCAGGGCAATGACCACAACTACTCTTGTCTTCAGTTAACAGTGTTGATACTTTTCTGATCTTATCCAAACACAAAGGTGTTATATACTGAAACCGGAGGTGCAGGTGAACTCAAGCCTAAACAATGACAGGAAAGGCTGGAATTCACGTAGTAATTTCCAAGGAGTTTGGGGATCAAAGTCAATGGCATGATCCAGCTGGTCCGCAGTGCTCCAGGACTACAAAGCAGCTGTAAGACTGATATCTAATTAGAGCAGTGTGAAGCAGCCAGAACACACCAGTGATCTTGGCTGAAATACAGTGTTTGGGAATGAGGCCCAATATTATCATTCTGGATATCCATCTGCATTTCTGAAACCATCAAAAACATGAAAAGTTTCTGACCAGTTGCACAACATTATTTCGGTCTCCCATACTTGGCAGATTTGTTGTTTCACCCCAGTATCCAATTTGGTACTGGGGACACTGCCTGTCTAATGATGCTAACAAATGTTCTCCTGCTGTCCACCCTGATCACATCTCTGTGTCTTACAGCATTCCTAATTTGCTAAAGGTACTGTGATCCCTGAAGAAATAGCTGGTATGATTTATAAAGACTTTAGCATTTAATATTTAATTCTGCTGTGTTTTTTTTTTTTCCATCCTTCCTCATATTGCACATTAATCTGGAAATCTTTCCTAAATAGTCTCCAGTCAAACAAGAAGGCTTTATATGATCAGTCACCTTAATTTCGACATTTATTGGCTACTCATTTCAATATGTTCTCACAGCATTGGTACTTGGCAGGGGAACTCTTCAGTCTCTCTTCTGCTTCCCTCGTCTGTTAAGCTACAAGCATTAAAGACAAATGCTATGATTATTTACTTGAGTCTGTATTGTTGCTTTGGGCACAAATCCTTCAGTTTTCACAAGTTAGCAATCCACACAAAATTTTATGAAATAACCTTTATGTTAGTTTTACTGACAGAGGGAGGAAATCTGTGAGGAATTTGCTGAGTAGGATGTCAAGAGAGGGCAGTCTGCTTGCTGTTCCAGACTTTTCCCCCGTCGACAGCAGTTTGTTCTCCCCACAGCTCTTTAAATGATGGGTAAGATTAGGCTCCGTTATTTGTGCTGTTAGAATCAGAAAATGTATAAACGTTCTTTGAACTTAACATGTAGTCCATCCTGCTAACTGGACATGCTGACTTTGGCTTGGTAGTGCTTTCTCCAAGAATAATAATAACAATAAATAATAATAATAATAATAATGTAATAAATAAATAATGTTGATTTACAGCCATGATATGGCTGTTGCCTTTGGCTGCAAATTTGTAGTCTGCAGTTCAATTGAAGATCTAACTGATTAAGATATCATATGAAAGTGTTGGGTTTCTGA